CGAACTAGCATCCCATCCAGGGGGGAGTAGAAATACTCCTGGTCACTTCATGCTACAGAAACCAGGATAAGCTCCAGCCTGATGGGCCACTTGGCTCGTTTGCAGACTTAACCTTACTAATGGCATGCGAGAAAACTAGACTGATCCAGACTCTCATAAAATGGGACCTTCCCTTTTCCTCTACCCTCTTTTTTTTGTTACTTTTTGTAAATGCTTTTTCAATAATATTGTCCTCACTGACCAAGAGCTTGGAGCAGTCTACAAGAAAGCAGAGTTGAGACTGAAACTAAAATCCAGCCTTGTCACACAATGTTCTGCTGAATAACATTTGGGAACTTATTGTTACAAAAGATGCATTGCAAAAGTAGTATTACATTTTTATGAACTTGACAAAGCTTATGTCAAAAATCTCTCTTTCCCTTGTTTAGGCATTCTGCTGTATTTCAACTGGTATTTATGGTAAGCAGTTACTTTTGCTGTTAAATTAGCCACATTTACGCAATCCCCAGCAAAGCACATATGTTGTAAGGGCTGTCTTTTTTTAGGGGGGCAGGAGATTCTCACTTGCACAAACATACTGCAGAACTTATTTTAGTTTTCGCAGTCAAGATGCATGACTCATCCGAGATAGAAAATATCTTGTGTGAGATAAGTAGAACATCAAAGACGGAGTTGTTGTCATTAGCAATATTACAACATTACAATATGTGGAGTCAGACATAACTTGTTTGTTTGTTTGTTGTTTCTGACAGGTTATCCAATATATGACGCCTCCTGTGTAGCATTAAACACTGTGCGTAAATGGCTTGAGGAAAATGCCGACGTGGTATGCTTAGTCTAGAATATACTGCTTTCAAATCATAGTGAGAGTCGTCATTGGGTTGAACTCCAGATCAAGCGGTCTGGGTCCCAGCACTGATCAGGGTTTCTGTGTTGTGTTCTTGGGTAAGACACTTAACACTCTATATCATCATCATCATCGTGATTATCATCTATTCTCAAACTCATTAATAATTCATCAAGTTAAACCAAAGAAAATCACAACCGTGAAGGAGGTTTGGATACCCGGTCTTAATTAGCATAGAGTTTGACGATTTTACTTCTCCGTTTA